TCCGAACCTGACTAATGCGGTCTGTAAATCAAACCAATGGTGCAGAGGGAAGGAAATCTAAAAAAACAATCCAAAGGTTGGGGAAAATGCTGGCAGGAAAACAAGGAATTGAATACTGGGAAAACACTTGACAATCTAGAAGGAGAGGGAATGCACTGGATAGGCACAGAAGGCAGAGGAAAGGTGCAGGTGAAAGGAATAGAGAAAAAAGAGGCTGGATGGAATGACTGGGATATGAAATGTCAGGAGAATAAAATGCAGGATTGATAACAGACTATGTACTGACAAGTTTGTTGAATTTTATAGCATGTCTCATACAGGAAAATCTGCAGGGCTTTTGTCACAGCATGTAAAAAAAGTTCTTGTGAGTGGCTGTTGGTACAGACAAAACATTTGATATTAAGCAGGTTCAGTTGCCCCCACTCATTTCCTATCTGTGTATTCAGAAACTGGCCTTACCCTCATTCTCTGTGTCATTTTGTTTTGCAGGATTTCACTCGTCAATTCCCTGGATGAACTACTCTCTGCGCTCTGCCTGATCTGCAGCTCTGGAACAAAAACACAGTGTAACTATTTAGATAATTTGTTATTCTTGTTTTTTTAAGCATCTTCTTGTGTTCAAGTGTTCTTCTGAAAATATAAGGCTGTACTCTTGCAATTAATCACTGCACTCCATAAAGTTGTAAAATACAATTGAGGCATTGGAGGCTTAGTTATATCCCAATTCTTAATCCCTAATATGTGCCAAGCTCGAAAAATAATGGGTGCCAAACTTCCTGTGATGTGATATTGTTGTTTTGTTAAGCGTTCCTGATGGTAAATTCTGTTTATTTATTTTTTAAATCTATTTTGATCCCCTGTAGCCAATGTATTGCAGCATGGGTACTCTTACTGGGGTCTCCATACATTTAGAAACAATACTTCAATGACAACAGATAAATTCTGTTAAACCTGTTGTTCAGCGACGCTCCAGACTTTCTGTCTGAGTTTTGTTTGAACCCAACAATAGCACTAAACGTACTTTCTTAGACTCCTCTCTTAGTCTTAGTAAGACATAATACAACCATTTTTAAAGGCTGGTTGTCCTCCACATGACTCGAACTGATCTTTATGTATAAAATTGGGAGTCTCCCTTTAATGTGAAACTGTTCCTCAAATTCTTCTGATGTGTAGTGGGGAAGGGGCATTTTCTACTCTTCTATTTTTTAATTTATGACTATTGTATATGTCGTGAATCAGGTTGGTGTTTTTTTATATACCAAATGTTTATTTTGTCCAGAAATTATTCTTTGTCAACTAGAGCTTCACACCAGTCTCTACTAATGCATTAGAATTTGATCAAAACCTACCAGCCTGATTCGACCTTGACGTCAGTCCTTTTTATGCACATTGCTCATGTCAAAAATGTGGTTGCGCAGTTAAAGCAAGTCAATACTTAACCGGCATTTAAACAACACCTGAAACTGAAAAATCCACTCAAACTGAAGAAATAATGTTTCCCATAATGTACCCTCTTTGAAGTTTTATCCATGCCATTGTTGTTTGCATACTTTTTCATGTCTTGTCTTGCTGGTGTTGGAAAGGAAAAGCTTTATATATACAGTACAGTATAGTATATATATTATATATATATATATATATATATATACATATATATATGTGTGTATTTTTGTTTTTAATAAATCATTGTATATTTTGAATGGTGTCCCGGGCCCTCATTTATCAATGTTACAGACTGTTCGTTAACCATGCGTGCAATCAATTATAAGTAGAGTGGGGATTCATCAATGTGTACTCACAGTACAGTTGAGAATGTGCATTAATTTATGCACACCTTTGACCATGCGTACGCAAACCACCTTCTGGTAGAGAAGTCGAACTGCTGGTTAAATGCCATCCTCCCAAATAGCAAAAGGATTGACAAACAAATCATAAACTATAAAGAATAAAAGGTAAATCATTAGTTTATTCATGTATTTGTTTTCTAGACACTTAAGTAGTTTTCTCGTGGTGCTCCTGAATTCATAAACATGAAACCATTGTTAGAGGATCTGGCAGAAGCTGCATTATGCAGGGAGAGGGCAGACTTTTTCACTAAGCAAACTTACTTAACTTAAAGTGGGCTAGTATGAAAATTAAGCCTAGTAAGTCTAGAAGTATCTCATTAAGTAGAGGGAAGCTAAGTGATAGGAAGTTTGTAATAGACGAAGAGGAAATTCCAATAATTAGGGAAAAATCAGTAAAGAGTCTAGGTAGGTGGTACAAGGCAGACTTGAAGGACGGAGAACAGGTAGTGCAGTTTTGGAAAGATGTTGCCGAGGGACTGGATAGAATAGATAAATCAGGGCTTCCAGGAAAAATTGAAGTTGTGGTGTTTGCAGTTCGGATTATTTCCCAGACTGATGTGGCCAATGTCTGTTTATGAGATTCCATTATCTGCTGCAGAAAAAATGGAAAGATTAGTTAGCTTTTACATTAGGAAGTGGCTAGGTGTTCCTAGATGCTTAAGTACGGTGGCACTGTATGGGAAAGGCATACTTCAGCTCCCAGTAACTAGTCTAGTGGAGGAGTTTAAATGTACTAAGGTTAGGACAGAGCTCCTGTTATCTGGGAGTAAAGATGTGGTAGTCAGTAAGGTGGTTCCAAACCCAATCAAGGGGAGAAAGTGGAATCCAAGAATGGCAGTGCAGGAGGCAGAAGCAACGCTCAGGCATACAGAGATTGTGGGTAATGTCCAAATAGGCCGGGGAGGCTTGGGGCTTGGCCCAGGCAAACCGGTGTGGAGTAGAGCAGGTCCCAAGGAAAAGAGAAAGCTAGTGGTGGAACAGGTTCGTAGACAGGAGGAGATATTAAGGGGTGCAAAGGCAGTGGCTCAGGCTAAGCAGGGACAGTGGTTAAATTGGGAAGGTGTAGATAAGAAAAAGCTTAGCTGGAAAGAGCTGTGGAGTATGGAGGAAAGTAGCATTAGATTCTTGATAGGGGCAACATATGATGTATTGCCAACTCCCCAGAACCTAAAACTCTGGGTAAATGGAGACCCGCTATGTGCATTGTGTTCAGGTACTGCAACTCTAAAGCACATTTTGTCAGGCTGTAAGGTTAGTCTGTCGCAAGGCCGGTACACGTGGCGACATAACCAGGTTTTAAAAAGCTTAGCTGCAGGAATAGAAGACCTACGGAGGCAGGCAAATTTAGGAGGGTCTAAAACAAAGAGAGTTGCAATAAAGTTTGTTCAAGAGGGAGAGAAAGTTGGTAAGACAGCAAGGAGGCAAGGCAGCTTAGAGGATGCTTGTGATTGGGAAATGCAGGTAGATTTAGGAGGAAAGCTTGTTGTTCCCCAGGAAATAGCCAGTACAAAGTTAAGGCCTGACATAGTCTTGTGGTCTAGGAGTAGAATGAAAGTATATTTCATAGAGCTGACTGTTCCATGGGAGGCTTCAGTTGAAGAAGCATATGAAAGGAAAAAGCTCAGGTATGCAGAGTTAGGGGCAGAAGCAGAGCAGCGAGGATGGAAAGTTAGGATTTGTCCAGTAGAAGTAGGATGTAGAGGATTTGTAGCAAGGTCTGTTGTCTCTTTGGTAAGGGAGCTAGGAGCAAGTGGACAGAGTGTGAGGAAAATAGTAAAAGACATGTCAGATGAGGCAGCAAGATCCAGTCAGTGGATTTGGATTAGAAGAAGTAATGGTAGCTGGGGGCCCAGCAGGGGGAGCACTTAGGATAGACAGACTCTTAGGAGAAGCAAGGAAGAAAATCCAGGAAGAGGAAGTGTTTTTAAGTGGAGGGTGTGGCCTGTGTGAGCCTCTTTGAGACCATGCGGTTAGTTCAGGTGAGTTGGTTTGTTTGTATTGCTCTGAATTGGTTTGTAGTGTGTCTCTGACTGTCTAGGCGAGTTTGTTTGTTTTAGGTGAGTTGTTGGAGAGTGGGGGAGTAGGGGGAGGTAGAGCACAGCCTAACCCGGTGGGGGAGAGCTAGCCCAAACAGGCACCTCTCCCTGACTCTACCTCCCTCATTCAAAATGGCCGCCATTTTCTCCAACTGGTTAGGGGAGTTTGTTTGCTGAATCTGCTGGTGTGTTTTGTCCTAGTTGATGATGTTGTGTGTGGTAGCATAGGCAAGGTAAAGGAGAAAATAGTTGTGGTGTGAGGAGCAGTGATGGCTGGCATTAGGGGAGTGACTCTGGGACGCCAGTGATCACTGTCTAGCCTCCTGGAGGTGTCGTGGGACCAACTAGACGAAACACTGGTGAAAGGAGGTTCCCACCTGATGACCCCAAAGACATGTTAGTTATCACTGCTCATTAGTCTGTGTAGCTGAATTAATAGTTATCATAGGGCTTAGGGAGTTATTCACTGAGTCTGGTCCAGTTTTTACAGCACAAGTTTCTTGTGTTTATCTTAAATACTAGTTTTTCAAGGTTTTTTTTTCTTGCAAGGAATATTGATTTGAACTCTGTAACCAACTCTCTTTATTATTAAGTCTTCACAGTAACATACATCATTTAAGTGCTATCATTAACTCAGATGTCTCAAACCTCAATTAACTTTCCAATTGAATAACATAATCATTGCATAATGAGACTTGTGGAACAAAAGTTACC